ACAAACTAATATTTTTAGGCTTCTTTGTTTTAAAATGCTCTATTACAGAAATCTTTCTCTGTAAGTACCTCCAGGATTAGTCCTGGAAGAAACAGGAGATAGAATTTGGATGTCCCAATTAGTGTCATAGTTACAAATGGATAACTAAATTTCAAAATAATAGGTTTACATCTAAAACCCATAAAATAACTAATGATTTGAAAAATCATAGCATAAGACACTTAATATGAATTATTTATATGTGGTTGATTATCTTAAAATTAGGAATATTTTGGGGCTGAGGTTGTGGCTCAGTGGTAGAGCTCTTGATAGCATGTGTGAGGAACGGGGTTTGATCCTCAGCACCACATAAAAATAAATAAATAAAATAAAGGTATTGTGTCCATTTATAACTACAAGTGTTTTTTTTTAAAAGAAGCTTAAAAAATTAAGAACATTCAGAGAATATTTTCTTGACTAGTACCCCTTCTCTGTTCTATTGTCAACAAAACACTATGATAATGTATATGTAAAATATCAGTCCCACCAGGAGGGGAAATGAAGGGGAAGTTCTAAGGAGTGAAGTCAACCAAATTATATTGTTATATTGTGTACATGTACAAGAATGTAAAAAAAAATCCACTATTAAGTATAGTTATTATACACCGTTAAAAATAAACACACACACATATCCCAGTGGTATTGTAATAATGTTATTTAATTAGTGATAAAAAAAATCATTGTATTTTTTGGGGCAATAAAAATACAGCAACTAAAAAGTTTTAATATTTTTGTCTTCTACCATCCCAATGTTTTATCTAAATGCATTTTTGTAACAGCTTTAGTGAAATATAATTTGCATATATATACACAAACAATTCACCCATTTAATGTACACAATGTAGTGGTTTTAACTATATCCTGAGTTGTGTGTGCAACCATCATACAAATCAGATTTAGATAATTTCATCAGCCCAAATGGAAACTCCATACTCACTAGCAGTTACCCTCCATTTCCCCCTTCCACCGTCCTGACAATTGCCAATCTACTTTCTGTCTTTTTATTTATTTGCCTATTTTCGACAATTCATAGAAATGGAGTCATACAATATTTGTCCTTTTAGTCTGGCTTCTTTTATGGGTGATCTTGCCAAAGTTCATCCATGTTGTAGCATGCCTCAGTACTTTGCCTTTTTGCTGGTGAATAACATTCCACTAAAGGACTGATCATGTTTTGTTTATTCGTTCATCAGCTGATGAATATTTGAGCTGTTTCTGTTTTCATGAATAACAGCGTGGATATCTGTGGCCAGATGCTTTCACTTCTCTGAGTATATGCCAAGGAATGGAATTTCTGGGTTTTTATGTTTCATCTTTGAGGAACTACCAAATTGTTTCCCAAAGTGGCCATCCCATTTTACATCACCACCAACAGTGTGAGAAAATTCTAATTTCTCCACATTCTCACCAACACTATGTTACTATCTGACGTTTTTATTATGACCCAACCTGGGGGCGGGGATCCAAATGCATTCCTAGATGCAAAAACATAGGAAATAATTGGACAAGGAAGCAACATCTTTTAAGACAAGGGAAAAGCATAAAGAGAATTAGGAAAAGGGTCCTGCAGTCGAGATGGAAAAGAAAGCAGCAGATGTTAGATGTGTTATTCTTATGCAATGAACTGCAGAAAAGTGTGAGCATCGTGCAGCCAGCCTCCAACTTCCCATCTGGAGCAGATAATATTCACAACAACACTCTTCTGGGTCTATTGACTTATTTTACAGGGAGCCTTCCCATGTCGTACCCCATCTGATCCACCACCACAAATCTTATGTGGGAGGATAGTATTCCAATCTGCAAGGGTGTAAGGGCTGCAAAGATTCACTGAATTGCCCCAGGGACCAGAGCTACAAAACTAAAGAGAAAGGAAAAGGAAGTGAACAGAACTGAGTTTGGAAGCATAACTTTTTATCTCATATCTCAGTCGATGGCTTCCTCTTTCCTCATGATCCCAACCTTATCACTGATGACCCAGAAACCAATGCAAAGGCAAGAGAAGGCAGAGGTGAACCCAGGGTATGTGTGAAACAATTAAAGGCCAGAGGCCTGGTCATCACAAAGTGGCCACAATCATACAGTTAAGAGAGCAAGCTCGGGACAGAAGAACACATTGTGACAGTAGCAAAAAGATGACCAAGTTTCCACCCTCCAGTAATCAGGAAGCCAGGCATACAGCCACGCTGATCCCTAAGTGTTAATTAAATATCATATTAAGCTGTATTAATAGAAGTGTACTGGATTACATACAACACTCATTCAAACATTTATTAAGAAATTACTATGTGTTAGTCACAGTAATGACTGAAATAACAAATAGAATGATTAAAATTTTCCAAAGTAAAATTAAATGACTAACATTTACTAAAACTTTTACATGTAGCATCTCACTTCATGCTCCCAAAACTCCTGAGGGAGGACTGTCACCAGACTTCCCTTTCTAAGTTGGATGTGTTGGTGCACATCTGTAATCCCAGCTACTGGGGAGGCTGAGGCAGAAGAATTACAAATTTAAGGCCACCCTGGGCAAATTACCAAGACCCTATCTCAAAACAAAATAAAAAGGGCTGGGATAGAGCTCAGTGGTAGAGTGTTTACCTAACTTGTTTAAGGTCCTGGGTTCCACCCCCAGTACCAATAAAATAAGAAAACTTAAATCTAAGAATCTTTCATGTACGGTTTTTATTTCATATATATGTCATATACTTCTATCATATATGTTCATAAAGAGTAATGACCAGTGTAATTACACATCACATGCAACCAAGGAATGAGAAGTTTCATTCCATATATGTATAATGTCAAAATTCACTCTACTGTCATTTATAAAAAATGATTTAAAAGGAATTGAAAAATTTTGAAATCAATTAAAATATTGAAAGTCTTAATTAAAAGAATCTCTTTTCCATAGAGGAGAGGCAAGAGAGGTTAAAAGTAAATTGTCCCAAAGTCACAAAAATTAATAAATGGTGGAGACAGAACAAGAACCCCGGGCAGCCTGGGTCTGTAATGTATGCTCATAACAGCCCTAGTCCTTCCTGCCAGGTTTTATGTAACTGGAAGTGACATGTGGTGTTACAGGAAGCTCAGGGCCAATTCTCAGGAGCCTCTCATAAAATACTCTTATCTCTGTTGCCATCTTACCGATGAGGAAACAGAGGCTCAGAGAAATGAATTAATTACAATATCTCATGCTGATATGACACTTACATTTCAGGCTCTGTTTTAAGCACTAATGCATCTAGTCTTCATAACAACTTACAAGGTAAATTTCATTATTATCATCATTCTAAATTAAATAAATAACTTGTCCAAAGTCCTATACTAGTTGAGGGCTAACATGGCCAGGATTCACTCCAGCTCAAAGGCCTCCTCAAAACAAACCTAATGATGACCCTTGGAAAGAGTGGTGGAGCAGAAATTCAAACTCAGTTCTAACTCCTGAGTGACAGCCTTCTATCTTTTCACCCACTTGCCCATGGATGACCCTTAAATCTGCTGCAGGGTGGAGAGGAGCCAGGGAGAGGGGAGTACAAATGCTCTGGAGACCCATAAGAAAGGGCATTTAAGCTGCACTCTGAAGGACAAAGAGCTTGCTGGACAAAGCGAGTCACTACACAACCTAGTATTTGTAAAAGAAATAAATAGCAAGTAACCTTATCCAAGGGAGAACGCTAAAAAACAAAGAAATCAAACTATTAAAAACAAAGTGTTTCAGATTATTTCAGAAGAGCTTTACTTCAAATTTTAGTTAGAAAACATTCTTGAAGGGAAAACAAGTTTTTAGTCCCTTTACTTTTGACTACACATTCAAAAAATTCAACAAGGTATATAAATGTGCAATTTATCTTTTGTAACACGAATTCTGACGTCCAAAATTTACTTCCTCAAACTAAGCGCTGCAAGCTGGTGTCTACCAAACCTTCAGGAATGTTTGCAAGATTCTCCATCAGGTCCTGAAACAGTCATCTAGAAACCAAAATGAGCTGGGAAATTCAAACCAAGACCTTAAAGGAACGTGGTTCTGGCGGGGCCAGGGGCCCATGTGCAAGTTGAGGCTGAAACACTGCAAAGATGGATTATTTTTTCCTGGCAAACTGATTTATGACCACAGAAGGGCAGCTGCAGAACCAGTCTGACCATAACTACAATCCTCAAACACAGAACAGGAAGTGATGGAAACAGCAGGAGGACCCTGAAGACCATCGCTCATTTCTGGGTGTTGTGAGACCTAACAAATTCTAATTCTTGCTGCAGACTTGGGGCGATCAATGGAGTCCATGGCCCAAAACGTGACCTCTGGGAAAGTTGGCACAGCAGAAGGGCACTAGACAAGGTGCCTCCACGCCCCCTGGCGGACTCAAAGGATAATTATGATGTGCCAATTAAAGGATAGATAGGTTCAGGGTTTCTGAAAAATTCTCTGTTTAGCTTCCACACAACCCTTAAAAGGAGGCGTGGACTCCGTTTTACAGATGGGGAATAAGGTATGACTTGCCAACAGACACAAAAAAGGAAAACAACAGAAGCAATCACTGGGCTGACTTCTAGGAGTACAGGGGCTGGGGTTAGCTCGGACCCCACAGCGACCCTCGGTTCACCAGGCGGACAAGGTGCAGGCTATCAGCAGGGAGCATTGGCAGCGCCCAAGTACCTCGGAGGAGGGAGCGCACGGCGGGTGGTAGCGACTCATCCCGGCGCAGGGCTGCAGCAACCAGGCTAGGGCGCAGCGCGCACCACCCGCTCGCCTGTGCCTGCCCGGACAGCCTCGCACGCTGTGCGTGTCCAGCCGCTGCAGCAGCAAGGCGCGGCGCAGCGTGGACTGTCCACGCGTCTGCACCTGTCCCAGAGCCCCGAGAGACTCGAAAGCCACCCACACACGGCGCCCGTGCGCGCAGGACTGCAGCGGGCACGGGCTGGCAGTGCCACAGCAAGCCCACCCTCTCTGTCTCTGGTCTTACCGTAACTGTTCTCCAGTGACTAGGACTTCAGCCATGCGCTCCAGCTCCCTTTGCTGCGCCCCGCCACTCCCGCTAGTGCTGCAGTCGCTGCCACCGCCGCCAGTGCTGCCGCCCTCCTCCATGGTCCGGGCCACGCCGCTACCACTGCCTGGGCTATCCGCCTCGGATTCTGCTCTTCGAATCAGTCTGCCCTCACCGAGGCTTCTCCCGCCATCTTTGTTCGGGGCAGTCCCAATGCTCTGAAGTGATTGGTTAGGGAGGGAATCCCTGTGAGTTAGCGGAGGCACTAGGCGAGTCCGGCCCCAGAAACTTCAGCTTGGGGGCGTGGCTGGAGTCCCTCGTGGCTGGGGGCGGGGCCGAAAGAGGAAAATATCAACATCTGAGCTGGGAACAGGCTCCGGGCTGTGTGTGCTGGCTGTGGATGAATTCCCGGGACTTTCCTTCCTTTACCCTGCAAAGCTCTTGCTATGAAAGCCTGCGTTTTTATTATATTGCAGAGAATGAATGAGAACAGTACACCCAATAGTGCACAAGAGAGGATACACATGTCACTGCAGGACATGGAAAAAAAAATTGGGATGAGGGGTGGTACCGAGGAGTGAACTCAGAGGCACTCGACCACTGAGCCTCATCTCCAACTCTACTTTGTATTTTATTTCGAGACAGGATCTCACTGAGTTGCTTAGCGCCTCACTTTTGCAGAGGCTGGCTTTGAACTCGCAATTCTCCTGTCTCAGCCTCCCGGAGTAGCAGGTATTACAAGCCTTCGCAACCGCGAGGCCTGGAAAAATTAAGCATTCCTTTCACCCGGACCACTCTCACCGAAGACAACTTACATAACTTGACAGTGTGATCAATACATAATGCTGGCCTGAAATTAAACAGATCTGGGATCGAGCTCCACAACTATCTTGAGAGACATAATTTTTCAGTTGCAGTTATGTGGTGGAAGTTTACAGACTAGTACATGGGTTAAAAAAAAAAAGGAGAAGAAGAGAGACGTTGTTTACAGAATGAAAATGGGAGGAAGTTGAAAACCAACTTCTATATATACATGTTTATATGTACATGCGCGCGCGCGCACACACACACACACACACACACAATCAATCAATCAATTCTGCTATTTCAAAGTATTTATATTTACTCTTCTACAAGTGTATTGTATTGTATACAAGGGCATGTTTGTTTGATCATGTTTTTTTCCTTTTCTTTTTTGGTATTGGGGGTTGAACCCAGGGGTGCTTAACCACTAAGCTAACTCACCAGCCCTTTTTAATTTTAATTTTGAGTCAGAGTCTCACTAAGTTACTGAGGGTCTCTTTCTAAATTGCTGAGGCTGCCCTCTAAGTTGGCCTCCTGAGTCTGTTGGGATTACAGGCATCTGCCACCTCACTCAGCACGTTTTTTATTTTATTTTATTTTATTTGTAAGGAAGATCATACAAGTCTTTGCCGAACTGCTGCAATGTTAGTGTTGACATTAAATGAAACTTGCAACAACTCATTAAGCATTCATCATGTGTTTTATATACCACAGGCACCTTGTTTATATTGTTTAATTTATCCTCAAAATCCTAAGAGTTAAATATTGATTTCAATTTACAACTAACAAAGCGTAATCACAGGACTGGGAATGTGACTCAGTGGTATAGTATTTGCCTGCCATGCATGAGGCCCTGGATGTGATCCCCAGCACCAAAAGAAAAATATGCATAAGGACAGACAGGTAGAACTTATCTAAATTTTTTATATAGAAGGTTAGGCAGCCTTTGAACTCTAATTCTGCTGACTCCCAAGGCCGTGCTCAGCCAGACTCCAGGATAACACTTTCTCTCATATCCAACACTAAATATCAGGCAACTCTTTTGCTCAAAGAAATTCTCTAAGGTTCTTAACTTTGTAAGTAGATCATGGTGGAAATGTAGACCCAGGGAGTCATAGTTTCAGTTACATGTGATTTTAAGAGCCTTATTCTGTTCTCTGATTTAAGGATGCTGATTCATAATGTGGTTGTAGGGGCATGGGAGGATTAGATGAACTCTAGATAGGGCAAAGGAGAAAAGCGGAGGGGAGGGAAGAGAAGGGAGGGTACATGAGGGTAGAAAAGATGGTGGAGTGAGATGGACATCATTACACTAAGTACATGTATGAAGACATGAATGATGTGATTCTACTTTGTGTACAACCAAAGATATGAAAAATTGTGCTCTATATGTGTAATATGAATTATAATGCATTCTGTTATACGTAACAAATTTAAATAAATAAATAAGAGCCTCATTCTGCATAAAGCATAAAAATCATTTAACAGAAGTAGTTAATGCTTTAATTCAGTAATTATTATATAGAATATCAAGAATTTGCTTGGGGTCTGGATTTATATCTCAGCAGTAGAGCATATGCCTAGTATTCCCAGTGTTTAATTCCCAGTGCTAAAATGACAACATCAAGCAAATAGTTTTGGGGGGGATTCTCACTCAAATGCTGAGTTTCTATCCTGATTCTGTCATTTATAACTTTGTAATCTTTGCTAGTCACTTAACTTCGGGGTGCTTCAATTTCCTATTGACAAAACAGGAATAGTAATTTCTCCCTTATAGGGCTGTTATGTGCTGTTTTAGTCAGCTTTTTCATTGCTGTCATCAAAAGACCCAATAACAAGAGCAATTTTAGAGGAAGAAAAGTTTATTTGGGGCAGTTTCAAAGATCTCGATCCACAGGTGGACAACTCTATTGCTCTATGACTGAAATGAGGCAAAACATCATGGGGGATGAGTGTTGAGGAGGAAAGCAGCTCAGGACATGGCACCAGGAGGCAGAGAGAGAGAGACAGCTTCCCTTACCACTGACACCACCTCCAGGTTTATATTCTCCTCCAGGGACATCCTACCTGCCCATAGTCACTACCAGGTAATCCCTATCGGAGGATTAACACACTGATTAGGTGTAGATTCTCATAGTCTAATCATTTTACCTTTAAACTTTCTTTCATTTTCTTACACCTAAGCTTTGGGGGGACACCCCATATCTAACCTATAACACGTGGCTTAAATGAATAGCATTATATAAAATTCCATTATTTAAAATTTTAAAGATTCATTTCAGTAACCAAATTTTTTTTAAGTTAGAAAAGAAGTATCTTAAGCCCGCTACAGTGGCACACATCTGTAATTCCAGCAACTCAGGAGAGCAAGGCAAGAGGTTTGCAAGTTAAAGCCCAGCCTCAGCAACTTACAGAGACCCTGACTCAAAAGAAACTAAAAAGGGTTGGGGAAAGGTAGCTCAGTGCTACCTTTGTCTAGTACGCGTGAAACCTTGGGTTCCATCCTTAGGCTGCTCCTTCTGAAAAGTGCCTTAACATATGGGAGGAAAAATTGAGTCGGGAAAATGAGCAGGAGAGAGTATAATTAATTTTTCTTACTTGACAAGATAGTTGTTGTTGTTGTGTGTAGATGGTTGTAGATGTTTATAGGAAATGAGAATTGCTCTGCTGCTATTGTTTTAACCTTTCATTGATACATGAAATACAACATGCCTCACTAGGTAAGGAGAAAAACTCTTTTCCCTAATTTAGGGGAAAATTGATGAACTGACTCCTGAAGACTTGTTAGCACCAATGCCTGTAACCAGGAGCCCTGGAGCAAGTGGTCCTAGAGTCAGCTGTGACCTATAAGTATTGGTGAAAGAGAGAAGGAGACCAATGTGACAATTACTCTAGCATGAAGATTCTGGAAGAGCTAAATTCTGACAGATCTGGGTTTGATTCCTGGCTCTATTTGGGCAAGTTCATCATCTTCTCTGAATTTTCTGTCCTCTTATGTAAAGATTATACCACCAGTCCCATTGGATTATTGGGAGAATTAAATGAAATTTAATAACTGCTTTTATTAAAGGCAGATAATTTCCCCCACAAGCCCCTGCCCCCCAGTGCTGGGGATTGAAATCCAGGACCTCATGCATGCTAGGTAAGTACTCTGTCACTGAGCCACATCCCCAGCCCTAGGTGGACATTACATTTCCGGGTCTCCTCGCCTCTTTCATGCTTTCTGTATGTTTTGGTACTTTGGGGGCTAATGTTTCTCAAAATTTTGATGGTGGTATGTAGTGTGTGGGTGTGTGATGTATTTGTGTTTTCAGCCCATTTAAGCCTGATACTTTGATGAAATATAATAAAATGAGATTTAAAAAAATATCTATAAAGCAAAATCCCAAATTCTATAGGGATCAATAAATGGAAATATTCTGTCAAATTGCTCTACACATTTCTTTTTTTTTTTTTTGGCTGGGTGGGGAGGAGGTTGACCGGGAGTTGACCCCAGCAGTAGTTTACCACTGAGCTACATCTCCAGCCCTTTGTATTTTTTTTTGAGACAGGGTTTTGCCAAGTTGCTTAGGACCTCTGTAATTTGCAAAAATTGGCCTCAAACTTGTGAACCTCCTGTCTCAGCTTCCCAAGTAGCCGGGATTACAGGCGTGCACCACCACACCCAGCTTGCTCTACACATTTCTAATTGATTTTTCAATGTTGTTATGTCTGGTTGTTTTTCACCACAAGTAATGGCAACCAGTTGATTGACCAAGCTCTGAGTGGTACTGGTGTACTAAAATTTTCCTAAAGGTGAGTGGCAGTGTGAGGGAATGGGCTTAAATTTATAAAATATGCAAAAGAATAGGGCCACCTATGAGGTTTCATAATAGACTAGTTGTCATGAGTGTTGCTGATGCCTCTTAATGTACATCTGTTTTATTCTGGCCTGATCTTATAGACTAACTCAGCCACCTCCATCTCTATGTGATCTTCCTGGACTTTCCCAAGCAGTGTGTTGCACCTTCCTGTGAATTTACATCTTCTTACAGTTTTAAGACTATTCTTAACCATTAGTGGAAATCCAAATTCTTTAGATGCTATAATTTTTATTCTTCTTGTGAATGGAAGAAAACTGATTTGGCAGTATTCCGTCCAGATACTTCCATTGCTAGATCCTGTTAGGAGAACTGTCTTTTAAAAATAAATGTAAAGATAGTAAAAATATAAAATTCCCTCACCTTCATTATTCACAACACGTTAATTTATTAATTTTGGTTCAAAAGATTGAACCCAGGGGTGCCTAACTACCAAGCCACATCCTCAACCTTTCCTATTTTGAGACAGGGTCTCACTAAGTTGCCCAGAGTGGCCTTAAACTTGCCATCCTGCTGCCTTAGCCTCCCAAACTACCATGCCTAGCCTATTCACCCCCATCTTAAATATTTTTGTTATATTTGACTTCATGGGAATGGAA